GTTTCCTTTTAGAAATGCTGTGGTCTTTACTTAGAAAGTCATGTTAAACCAACCAATAAATATTTTAAGACTTCTAAAATTTTTCATGCTGTACATTTTGCTGAAAATGTCAAACCTATGGGTATAAAAACACATTTTCATGACTTCCCAAAGAAAATGGTTTGCATGCACAAATGTCTATCACATATTGTATCTCAACAAAAAATCACCATACTGAAATTATTTGTATTTTCTATATGCAGATCCAACAGATAGGAATGAATATAGGCCTGAAAGTTCAGCAGTGGCCTGATGATAAATACTCAAATAGGCTGCCTTTTATAAGCTGGTAAGCTGATTTTTCTTTTCCTTTTTTTTTTGTTTCTTTTTTCTTGTATGCCTGTGTTTGTGTGTTAATTTTCAGAGGGAGTTCCAGGATTCTTCTCTAAATACAGAGCTTGTTTTACCTGGAATATAAATGAGATCACTGCACCATTGCTGAAGAAGATATGTTGCTTCCTGAACATAAAATCCTTTGGAGGTATGTTTCTAGGCTCTTCCTATTTAATTTCCCCTTTGTTCCTGTTCAAAGCAAGATCACAAACTGTCAACTGAGAAAAGGAGAACCCTGGGGTAATATTCAGGTAGCTGTTTCTAGCCTGCTGGCATCCAGCTAGAAATTCACCTCCCCAAAGAAAGAAAATCAATATTAATAGAACAGCAACTGTTTCAAATATGTGGTTTTATGAGTACACTCAATTTTCAAGTTCCTAAAATCTCTGCTCGTGACCAACAGGATGAAAAAGAACACCCACATTTACAAGGCATGTTCTATGAAGAGTGATTTCTACTTATATCACTTCATTTAAAAGGATTTGCTGGGGCAATCAGATTGGCTCTATCTGAAACAGCCAATTACTAGTAAAAACTGCCTCAGGCCTTAAGGGCCTATGGGCTTTAAAATCCGTGATGCTAGACAGAGTATTGGCATCCTTAAGAAGACAGCCAGAAAGCACACTAAACAAGTACCAGAAATCTATTCTTAACAGTGCTACCAAGTGACATTGCTCCTCATTTACACTCTAGGTATAGATGGAATTAGAAACACACCCATGCTTTCAAAGTAGCCAAATGGCAGATGGGCAAGGGCCAATAGAATAGGGACATAAAATAAACAGCAAAGTAATCAGACAAAAGTAGTTTGAATGTGTAGCTCTTCACAGACTCCTGTCAAACATGTAACAAATCAGGACTCGGAAAATATAGACATCGACAGGTGGAAAACTACCTTTATTGTACGTATTTAGGAAATTTGTACTAGACTGTTTTGTGTCTTTACAATCATTTAGTCCTAGGGAGGAGGATTGCATTACAGTATACTTCTATAACTATATAAAAGCTATAAAAACTGGTCATGCATAAACCAGTGGGACTTTCTTTCCAGGCATATGAACAGTGCCATCACCTTTTATTTTACCTATGGGTGCTTAACCTGGTTCTGGATAATAAAGGACCTGGTTCTGGATAATAAAGGAACTGGTTCTGGATAATAAAGGAGGGGCAGAGTTTGGGATGTGATTCTCTGGTATAAGCCACACACATCTAAGTAATTCAACAGAAAGCAAAACAAGGTGGCTCCCATCTAAATGCATGCTTTATTTGTTAGTTCTTCAAACTACCCAACAAATATTTTTAAGCTATACAAAGTAAGAGAATTTTTTTTAGATACTAGAAATATTAATCCTAGAAAGACTTTAGACAGAGATAAGTATCTAAAGCTAACACGACACTGTAAGTCACTACTGTGACAAAATACCCTGATCAGAAAATAGCTTAGGCTAGAAAGGTGGCTTACACTTCAATATCATAGTTCATAATAACAGAGAAGTCACAGTGGTAGGAGCTCAAAGAAGCTAGTCATGCCACATTCACTTTCAAGAGCAGAGAGAAATAAATGCATGCAGGCCTGCTTGCTTGCTTTCTCCTCTCTTATACAAGATCCATTGCCTTGGGGATGGTGCTTCCCACAGTGGGCTGTGTCATCCCTCATCAACCAATGCATACAAACCTGTGAGTTCATTACAGTGAATGAAATGATTTTAGTCATGCATGTAAAAGCCTGTATTTCCCTTTTACAAATTCATTTATTGAAAAAAAGTCACACAGTCAGAAACTCATCACTCAGAAAATAATAAGCACTTTTGTCATTTTGACTTTATACTGCAGAATCTATCAGAATTTATAGCAAATTAAATAATGATTAAAATCTTTATTATAAAAATGACATATTCCTTGCTTCCTGAACATTTTTTTCCTATCTGATTCAGGGTGACCTGTAACATGACAAAGCTATTTTTTGTTTAGAGTCATCTAGATAGAGCTTCTGATCTTACTTAAATTCTCTCTTGCCTATTGAGAAGTTATCATTTCATATCTTTAACTTCTCCCTTTGCAGGCAGATTGCTCTATTTCCTTAATGTAGAGTGTCAACCTATCAATGGCCCTTATGAAAATCTTAAGTAATTTAAATCCATTCCTGGCATCTCTGTTTTTCCGATTGCAAAGGTATAAGCCTGTGTAGTAGAAACAAGAACATTCCAAGTGCTCATGAATGAGGTGGAAAACAGGCACTTCCTGGAGAAACAAACAGCTCTGCTCTGCCTTCCAAAGTCTTTAGTTCAGATAGAGACTGATTGATATGAACTCTGAAACTGATCTTTTTTGTGCAGTTTGAAAAATAGTTGTCATTTGTCTGTTTTTTTACTCAATTAAAAATTATACAAAATGTCTAATACTGAGGCTTTAAGATCAATGCCCTGCAAAGAAGACATTTTTGATGCTAAGCAATTTGATATGGCAGAAATTTAAATGCCTTAAAAATGAACATAAAACTTGTCTCCCAAGTGTCTTTTCCTGCAGTGGGACAGGGATAAGCGTTGTCCAAAGTTTCTCTATTTATAGGAGTTCAAAGTTTACCATATGCCAAAAAGTAAGGACAATCTCTGCTTCCTTCCCTAAACTTTCATTAACTAAACTCATACATACCACAAGAGTAGCATTCATGATGGTAACAGTAACAAGCTTGTAGTTTTGTCATAGGACATAGGTCATTACTTTCCATCCTTAGAGATTAACACTGTGTGTGTGTGTGTGTGTGTGTGTGTGTGTGTGTGTGTGTGTGTGTGTGTTTGCGCACACCAAACAGACATTTAAGTATGCTGTATGTTGTTCCAGCTCATTGAACTCCTTGAAAAATCATTTACTGTCCTCAGTCCCCGACGCCCCACTCTCCTATAGAAAAGGATATGAAGGTTTTCAGATCATATGAGCTTACTGCAGGCTCACAATCCTGTGATTATCCCCTGTGACTTTCACCCCTTTGCATATTAATTAATTTGTATGCCTTTTCTTCTTGTCAGTTCATTTCGGTCAGCCTTCAGAGACTGGAAAGGAAAGGTTCCTTAGCTCACCCGAGCATTACTTTCCACCCACTATTTCCATTGCGGATTAACCCATGGCATGTGTTTCCAATAATCCCCAATCACTCACATTGTTAATGCAAGCTTCATGTAACTCCCCATATAAAACATTTCTTTCTTTCATTAGTTCTTTATTTATATCATAACTTAAATGTCTCTATAAGTAATGTTTTTCATTCAAGAAATACCAACAAAATAATATGGAAAGGTTATATAAATGTCACTGCTTTCCTGCAGATTTTACATGTTCTGTTGAACTCTGTGAACATCTGGACAGAATTTCTACTATAAAAAAAATACTTCTAGTCACAAAAGAGTGTTTCTTGAAATAGCATTTTGACTTGACACAGAAGGGCCTTGAAAAAAGAGTATGAAAAGGTCCTTCTAATCACATGTTCACATACACAATGCCTCCATTTTTCTTTCTGATATAGAATTCTAGACCATAAGAAGGTCCATACTGACTTTTCTATTCTTCGTGTTTGTTTATTATGAAATTAGTTACTGGCATTATATATAGCTTTAGAAATCAGTGCATGCCATTTAGAATGCAAACTGCGCTTTTAAGCTATGTAACAGATTATATTGCAGAAAAGAGTATGAAAGTGTGAATTCCTTTTGTTCTTAAGGGTTACATAAGAAGGTCACTGAGTACCTTGAAGAAAATATCAAGGAAAGAACACACAATTTTTTTTGTTAATATAGCCAAAATACTTTAAATTTTATTTTGATATTCAGGTCTATATTTTGATACCTTGAAGGGAATCATATTTAACTTGCAGCATTAATTAATTAACTATAAGCCTGGCTAGTCGTGCATTGCTGATCTTTATACTGTAATTTTCTGTTATTTCATCCGCATTTTAGTGCATCAATATTTGGTCTTTCTCTAGAAATAAGTAACATGACTGTTGGAAAAATCATAGAAAATTAAAATGAAACCAATAAAAAATCCCACAATATCCTACCATTTCTGGAATTGAATTATTATACTATCTCTTATTACTAAAAATATTCTTTCACATAAGTAATATTTAAGTGTTGAGAAATTTTATAAATAAAAATTATAATAAAAATATGATAATAATCATTCTTACAACCCAACTGTAGTCTCTATTTGCTTTTAGTTTTATGCAACTATGTCTGTGTAACTAAAGTAGGAAGCCATTTATTCAGTACCTTTTCATTACTTCTTTTCTTAAATTTATTGACTGTTTAATAAATCACCCTATTTAAATACAAGTTAAAAGTTTCCTGGTATATATTAAAATAAATTTGAATATCTGTAGGAATTTCATTATTTGGGTAGAGAGTAAAAAAGAGATGGAAGACATTTTTAAAATGTCTGTTAAGATTTTTTTCTCATTTTAGATGAATATTACTTATCACAAAACTTACTCGTACACAATTGTCCATGATATATTAGTAATTAATAGCATTTTATCTTAGCTCTTAGGATAATAAGAACAATGAAACAGACATTCAGCATGTTTAAATTTTTACTTTCTTTTTTAGAGGAAGGAAAATATCGGCATTGCATACCTGGGGATATGATGTAGAAGAAATCTTTAAATTCGTCCATCCAAACTTCTGCCAGTCTTCTGTTGTTCTTATTAATAACATGGCCAGTGCCACCAGGGAATGTATATGGAGTTGCCTTTCGAAAAACATGACCGACATGAGAGCAAGTCACAATCTCCAAAGAGCCTCCACATTGCCAGATCTAGGGAAAAAAACAATCCCATGTAAGAGCTAATGGGAATTACACAAGGAGAATACATAGAATGAACAAAGCTTAGGCCATACCTTACAAATGTTACACATTTCAACAAAATATTATATAGACACAGAATTTTGTGCTAGGAAAATTACATTTTACAAACAAAGATCATCTCTTTGAACATGTGTAGCACTGGAATTTTGGAGCTAATATGTTCCTCTTTTCATGTAATTATAGTAGGTAACCCACGTTATAGTGTCCAGTAGTTATCCAGTTAATATTTAGTAGATAATTTAGTATCAAGATTCTGATATGAGTGAATCTCATTGTGAATTGATACAGATATCAATGCACTGTCAACTAAATTTGATTTGAAGAAAAATCTATCAATTATACTCCTTCCATTTGGGATTGTAAATGCTTACCCAGTCCCAGCCATCAATTTTTTTCCTAAATCTTTTACAGTTGAATCTCATTACTCTTACTAACATTCTGGGATTCTTTTACTTCTGCTAACCATGTATGTATCCTTCAAAATCATTTTTATCTAGGACATTCTTTGGAGAGACTGAGTATTGGTTTACTTTTGCACCATAAACATTATTTTAGTAAAGAACTAAGAGTGTTACATTGTGAATACTTATCTATTCAAGAAAAATATTTTTAAGGAAAGATTCTTTGAAACCAGGAACTCTTGGAAAACATACCTTGGATTTCTTGATATTCTCAGATCTACTTTGCAGTTGAAGGCAGGTATTATATAAAGTTTTCACAAGTATTTATTTCAATAAAATTTTATTGTATAGCTAAAGGCTTTACTAGTATGTTAAGCCTCAGTAATGGTGTATAGAGTGGTCTCCATGTCAATCAGTTCTACATGTGTGTATTCAATCAATTAAGGATTAAAAGCATTGGGAAATGCTATTTTATTAAATATACACAGGCTTTTTTGTTGTCAAAAATAACTAATGGGCCAGTACCATAGCTCATATAGTAAAAGTACTCTCTCTGCAGCTTGACAACATGAATTCAATCTCTGGAACCTGAAAGGTGGAAAGAGAGAGCTGATTCTAGTAAGTGGTCTTCTGAGATCCACAAGTATGTGTATCATAAATGTACTCTCACACACAAAATAATGTAGCAAAATAAGAGAAATACAAAATAAGAACTATTGCATAGCAACATTTGCATTGTACTAAAAATTACAATCTTCAGATGTTTTGAAGTACACAGAAAGGTATGAAAAGAACATATGCAAGTATCTCGACTTTTATATAATGGAATTGAACAGTCACAGTTCAATGACAGGACTTGGAAGTAATTGCTCCTATCCCCATACATATAGAAGATGGGCTATGTGAGCAGGATTATACTAATGGAAAAGATGAGAAATCCAACATTTAAGTAGAAAGCAGAATAGTGGGCCTCTTTACCCCTCTCAAAAGGCAAGCAGATTTTCCTAAAATATTTATAGGTTCATAACTCCTCCACCCATTGAGCATGAAATCTACACCCCATCTTTTAATTGCAGAAATGTTTAATTCTTCTTTCATTTAAGTGAAGATAGTTGATCTTTCTCCCCACAATGGTAAATCAAGGTTTACAGATCAGTCTATGCACATCCCTTATATCTTATAAATGTGTCTGACTTAATCATCCTCTGTTATTCTCTTGATATCATGACTTCACCCTATAAATTGCACACCATGACTTCAGAGTGGGCATCTTAAATACCCAAAGCCAATGAAAAAAATCTATAAAACATGAAGAAATCATAAATTGATTAACATTCACATCCAGTATATTTCATTTACACCTATGTAAAATAGCATAAACCGTATTTTATAGATACATCACATCTTTTTTTTTCATTTGTTTTTCTACTCATTGTGAAATGATGCTCATTTCTGTTCTTTCTTAAAATAAGCATGGTAGAAGCCACAAATGTTTATCTAGATGAGTTATGTAGGAAACTCCATTTTTGGAATCTCCATTCCTATGTGCTACTTCCCAGTTCTCCCTTCTCTAAAACTACCATGTAAATGTTGGTCTCCATTTCCTTTCATAGGCTTGAAGTCGGTCTCGTTTGTTGTATCAACATAGAAATTATCTAAATTCTGACAAGTTCAACTTTATATCCCAAACCTAGACTTTTCCAATGGGACATGGATTAGTATAGCAAAACCTTTACTGAATACTTATATTTTTGTTTGCCTCAGAGATAACGAAATATGCCAGTCCATAGTTGAAGTTTTGAATCCACCCTCCTCTACCAGTATGATCTTATTTTGTCCCAGGAATTTACAAACTGTTATTAAATGATTCCACCAATCTCCCAGATGGCTGGTCAAATTAAATAAGAAATAAAGTAAAAATCACAGTCATTGTCATAACTGATTTATCTATCTATTTTTTAAAACACATTCAACCCATTAACCAACCTTGATAGTACTGCCTATAAAATAATTTACAGAATATTCATTTACTTATGATGCTACTACTAAATACCAGATCCTGGCTAGATGATGACTTCAACAACAGAAATGTAGTTTTAATGTCTGAGATGTTGGGACATCTATCATCGTGCTGCTAGAATGATAACCTTCTAATGAAAGCATTCTTCCTGGATCATAAATGGGCACCTACTTGCTGTCTCCTCAAAGACTCATACAGAGAAAGCTATGTTGTCATTTCCTCTTCTTATAACATACCCAGGTCTTTCAGATTAAAGCTCCACCTTTGTGAACTAATGGTCAACTGCTTACAGAGCCATTCTTCAGGTACAGTCATATGGGGATTCTGCCCTTCAACATATGAATGTTGGGGGAATATAAATCAAATCACAACACAGCTCTGTCTTCAATGTCACCATCCTTGACCTAATTTGATTCTCTTGTTATTCAGTTGCTTCATCAATGATTGCTCTCTGAAATTTTATTTTGTTCTAAGAAATCAGAAAGGTTTTTAAAAACTTAATCATGTGACTTTGCTTCACTGTTTAAATCCTTCACTGGTTTCTCATTGAACTGAAAATATATACAAAATTCTTTCACAGTTCCTCTAAGAGGATACATAATTATTTCCCTCTATAAAAACCTATTTGCTAGAATCACATTATACATTTTATTACACATCAAAGCCTTTTCACATGCTTACTCTATACCTGTGTAATTCTGTCATGCCTCTTTTCCATTAAATGAAATGCCTCTTCCTTGTTCTTATCCTAGCCAAAGCATCATCCCACAGGATACATTTCTACATGCTGGAGAGATACCTCAGAGATACCCCAACTCATGAGTTAAAGCCCCAGAAACCATGTGGATGATGTGCCTGCATGGGTATGTGCACAAAACCCCACATAGACACTCACATATACACATAAGTTAAAAAGAAAATCTTCAAAAGATTTTTAGAATAAAGATTTTCAGTGTCCATATATTTTTTCCTTTCTCACCTAGGATGTAGACTACAAAAAAAGCAAAGATGCCTGGTTGTTTTGTAGCTCCAAGAGCCAGATATCAAGTTATGTACATCTCAAAGCAGCAAATCAATTAATATGTTGCCTAAATGAGCAAATGGACAATTTAAAATTTAACTACCAAAGTTAACATGAAGGAAAAAAAATCACTGCCTGAAGAAAGAGGAGATAAGCACATTTGGGATGCAGATACGTCATATTGTGATGTATTTGAAAACTAAGGATTAAGACAAATTACTTCATCAAATGTGAGCTGTTTCATAGTTCTTGGAAACTGAGAAAGTTATTTAGAGGGCACCATATAGCACAAAAGGAAAATAAAAAAAACAATTCACAGCTCACGGTGAACGAGGTTGACTGACACTATAGCAGCTTTACAAGCACTAATGACAGACTTATACGGAATCTCACAGCAATCTCTCATTCCCTCAAAGAAACATGATTTAGCAAAGTTCTCAGCATTTTCACTATAACCATGGTTTTCTTAAAAGTGACAGGAATTCAGAAAAGTAGCATAGTACGTAGTGAGCCAAGGAATTTAAGGTCCTTTCATTATTATAAAGAGTTCTATATTAGCAGTAAGAAGGATTTCCCTTCTTTTTCAGTGATTAGACAAAAAAAGAAAAAAAACAAGAAATGGGGTTCAGTGCAAAAAAATAGAATCCTATGAATAGTAAATAGGCTAGCTATTCCAGTACTGCCATTTGAACAGAGAAAAATGTGCTTAAAATGCTCTTGGAAAAATCATCAAGCATGCAATAAAAGCTCATTTCTAGTGTAATAAAAATGGTGTCTAATCTAAAGAATCTTGGGAGTGGGCTTGATCTGATGGTATAGCAGAACTGACAGGTCAAAAGATGAAGTGAATTAAAGCATGTCTAGCTTCAACTTGTTTCTGGGCCTTATATATAGAATATGGTGCATAGAAAGAGAGCTATGGACTAGTAATATAGCTCACCAGCAACTGTTTGCACAAATAAGGAAGACAGTTGGTAGCTGTCTGCTATGAAAGAGACTAAGTGAGACCATTTCTCTCTGCAGACTCTTGGGAGTGAGAGAGGTTTTTCCAAAGCAAAGCACAGTTTTAAGAAAATGATGACAAATGAGCATTGAAGATGATCACTACCAAGAGCAGGTGGATCTATATGTAGCCAATCACAATCATAAGGTACCATATTACACATGATCTGCCATTTCTCCAGCCTGCTCTTTCTCCTGACTTGGATGGAGAGAGAGATCAACAATATACACTCAAAGATCTTCTGTCAGCTTGGGCCTGTGAGTAAGAGACACACGTGTCCGCTATTTTTGTTTACATAGCAAGGCCTTTACAAAGAACAGAGGGATTTTGAATAATTGGAAGTCATCAGAAAACGATAGAATTTATCCTAAATGACAAGCATTAGCACTGTAAACTGCTATCTTTCAAAATATAAAAACATAGGAGTAAAAAATAAATCATTATAAGTACATAGTAAGTGTACACCACAGCAAATTCAGATTGTACAATGAGTCATCAAGCAGT